CATAGGTAGTTCTAAGAACTACTAAACTTGGACAAATCTCAGCCAGTAGGGAGTTCTTGAGCCCTCCCTCCTTGACTTGCATTTATGCCTTAACACACTTAATAAGAACTTGACTAGTCAAGGGCCAGCCCCATGGCATAGTGGTTAAGTGTGCATGCTCTGCTGCTGGCAGCCTGGGTTCGGATCCCGGGCACGCACCGATGCATTGCTTGTCACGCCATGCTGTGGCGGCATCCCACATAAAGTGGAGGAAGATCGGCATGGATGTTAGCTCAGGGCCAGTCTTCCTCAGCAAAAAGAGGAGGATTGGCATGGATGTTAGCTCAGGGCTGATCTTCCTCACAAAAAAAGAAAAAAAAAAGAACTTGACTAGTCAATCATCTGGGAGAATAAAGAATTTTGGAGTTACATTTTTGGGCACTGACCTCTGCATCTGTGATGGTTAATTTTATGTGTCAACTTGACTGGGCCTCAAGTTGCCCAAATAATATTTGGTCAAACATTGTTCTCAGTGTGTGTCTATGAGGGTGTTTCTGGATGAATTAACATTTAAGTCAGTAGACTGTGTAAAGCAGATTGCTCTTCCCAGTGTGGGTGGGCCTCATGCAATCTGTTGAGGGCTTAAATAGAAAAAAAAAAAGGTTCAGTAAGGGAGAATTTGCTCTCTCCACCTAACTGTCTCCAAGCTGGGACATCAATCTTCTCCTGCCTCCAGACTAGGACTCAGGCTGGAATTTACACCATCAGTTCTCTTGCTTCTCAGGCCTTTGGACTTAGACTGGAAGTACGCCATAAGCTCTCCTGGGTCTCCAGCTTGACAGTTGAAGATCTTAGAGCTTCTCAGCCCCATAATTGTATGAGCCAATTCCTTATAATAAATCTCTCTCTCTCTCTCTCTATGTGTGTGTGTGTGTGTGTGTGTGTGTGTGTGTACAGAACTCTGACTAATACAGATTTTGGTACCTAGAGTTGTTCTAGGGGAACAGAATGTTAAAGATGAGTTTTCTGGCCAGCCCCATGGCTTAGAGGTTAAGCGCGCGCGCTCCACTGCTGGCGGCCCGGGTTCAGATCCCGGGTGTGCACCAATGCACCGCTTCTCCTGCCATGCTGAGGCTGCGTCCCACATACAGCAACTAGAAGGATGTGCAGTTATGACATGCAACTATCTACTGGGGCTTTGGGGGAAAAAATAAATAAATAAATAAAACTATAAAGATGAGTTTTCCGAATTGGTTCTGGTGTTTCTGAAATTAGCTCTCTAATCTGATTCAATTTAAAGGTGATAATGACTCTATTTCCAGTAGTAAAGAGAGCACTGATAGTCCCTGATGTGATTGGGCAATAGAAACACATAAAATATCTGCATTGCATACACCTAATCAACCACTTATAAGAAGCAAGGGGGCCGGCCCAGTGGTGCAAGCGGTTGAGTGTGCGCAGTTCGCTGCGGCGGTCTGGGGTTTGTGCGCACTGACACACTGCTTGTCAAGCCATGCTGTGGCAGCTTCCCATATAAAGTGGAGGAAGATGGGCATGGATGCTAGCTCAGGGCCAGTCTTCCTCAGCAAAAAAAAAAAAAGAAAAGAGGAGGATTGGCAGACGTTAGCACAGGGCTGATCTCCTCACACACACAAAAAATAATAATAATAATAATAAAAAAGAAGCAAGGATCTAGGTGACTGTGTGTATGATACTTTTGAACATTTTTGGAAAGCTAACAAATATTTGAACTCCCAGCCTCATAGGTTGTCTGCTGTTAAGGAGAGAACACTGATTGGGAAAGAATGGGATTCTGTAAGTTGGAATGGGGACAAGTGGGAAGACTCGGATAAAGCTGGGGACGTTGAGACCCTAAATTCTGATGAATCTTCTTTGCCAGTGGAAGTGGCCTCCCCACCCCCAGTAGAAGCAAGCAGCCATCCCACCTCCAGTGGTACTGACTCTTCCCCCCTAAATCCGCCCCCACCATTAACCCTACACTGTCTGAGGACACTGTAATGGCTTCCTTTAAGGCAGTTGCCTTGCAAGACAATGCTAATTCTCCTCAAGACCCACCACTTGTGGCCGGCCCAGTGGCGCAGGGGTTAACTGTGTGCGTTGTGCTGCAGTGGCTGGGGGTTTGCTGGTTCCAATCCCGCGAGCACTGACGCACCACTTGTCAAGTCATGCTGTGGTGGCGTCCCATATAAAGTAGAGGAAGATGCGCACAGATGTTAGCCTAGGGCCAGTCTTCCTCAGGGAAAAAGAGGAGGATTGGCAACAGATGTTAGCTCAGGGCTGATCTTCCTCACACACACCACCTCTTTTTGCTTCTAGACCTATAACTAGACTCAATTTCCAGCAGGCCCCTAAGGGTGAGGTACAAAGTGTGACCCATGAGGAGATGTGCTATACTCCAAAAGAACTACTTAAGTTTTATAATTTATACAAACAGAAATCACAAATTTATGAGAATGGATATTAAGGTTGTGGGATCATGGTGGAAGGAACACACAGTCAGATCAGGCCAAAATTATTGATGTCTGGCATATAATAGACCCTTAGGAGGGTGAAGAATCTGCCTGCAATGTGTTACCCTGTTGGTCTCCAGAGCATATCTGTGAATCTGCCAGAGCCCATGTCTTCCTTTTCTCTCCAGCTCCATAAACATCCCTCCTCAATCTGGAAGAGGATTTGAAAAGGACCAATAGGGGAAGTTTGTTCTTTGTTCAACAGTGTATGAGGAAAAGGTGCTCAATCAAGTGTTTTTCTTTTTTTTTCCTTCTTCCCTATATAATTTTTAAATCTTCACTCTTTCCTCTCTTCTCTAGCCATTGCTTCTTCTTTAGCCATTTGTTTTCCCCCAATCCCTGTAAACACACACCCCCCCCCACACACACCCACACACCCACAGGCATTTTAAGGCTTCCCATGACCCACAGATAGAGGCCAAGGTCTTAATCCTTTAAAGTCCATTACAAGGGTGCTCCAGGCTATGTTAATTCACTTCTCTCATGGTCTTGTATTTCAATTGATTCTTTCTATCTGATCAAAGCTTCAAGTAGCTCTTTTGTCCCTTCTGTGTTTTAAGGCCCTCTCCCACGCTGTGACACAAGAATGCAACCTTCCTTTTCAACATGTGCCTGGTCTCTCATTTGTCCTATCAGTTTTCCTAGCGATCACAGAAACCTCACGGCTTTTCCCGACCCTGTCCTGCACAGACAGGGAATTTCTTCAATTATATACATGGCTCTGATGTGTGATTCAATACATTACTCGCCATTCTTACAATATCTTACTGTTTCTCTTCAGCGAGTGTTCCTTCAGCCAAAGCCTATTGAAATCTGACAGTGTGTCAAATACTGTGCTAGATGTTGTGGATATGAAGTGAATAAAACACTATTTCCACCTACGAGGAGCTCATAGGCTAGAAAGCAAAGGCAGCATGTAAACATGTATATTATAGTGCAGTGTGCTAAGTATCACACACTGTGATGTGAAGAAAAATGAACTTCCTCTGTGGGAGTTGATAAAACTTCTCATAGGAAGTGACATTTCCATTAGTCTTGAAACCTAAGTAGGAGTTTGCCAATCAGTGGACAGGGGAGAGAGTGAGGGTAAGAGAAGAATAGGGCACCTGAGTAAAGGAAATTGAGGCTCAGGGCAGAGGTTCTGAAATAACTGAGGAAGATTCTGATGTGTTCATGATACTGACCCTCTTAATCTCAAATTTGTGTGCCCGATGTGCAATAAGCCAATCACTGAGACATCGTGCTTGGAGATGGAAAAAGATTTATTCAAAGTGGCCAAAATGAGAAGGTGGGAGGATAGGTTCTCTCAAATCCACCAAAGCCCCAATAGATAGTTGTATGTTACACTTGCACATCCTGCTAGTTGCTGTATGTGGGACACCGCCTCAGCATGGCCAAACAAGTGGTGCGTTCTGCGTCGCCGGGATCTGAAGCCAGGCCACCAGTAGCAGATGTGCACACTTAACCGCTAAGCCACTGGGCCAGCCCTCAAATCCACCTTAACAAGAGAAGAAAGCAGGGGGTTTTATAGAGCTAAGGGGCTTGGCAGGGGGAGTTTTGGAGAAACAAAGGGTAATCCCGTGTTTCTTTCACACCCAATAAAGCCCCTGGGCAATCTGACTCCTGAGCGTCCACAGGAGCTGGGGGCTGGTTATCTGTTGATCCTTGAAAGCATTCTTTTTCTTCTGCAAAACAAGCTCATAAATCCTTGTGACCCCTGAGTAACCCCTCAGGTAAAACAAGAAAACAGCAAATTGACAAGATTAAGTTCTTTTCATCTATGTCTGTGTTGGGAACAAGGTCAAAAGGTAATCTTATTGAACATTTACAGTTACCCTCAGGTACCCGGCTTCCTTCAGAGTGTTCTGATGGGTTCCACATTGTCGGATGTGAGCAGCATTGAGTGGCAGGGATCAAATTGAGAGGGCCTGGGTAGAGAGAATTGAATTTTATTCTAGAACTAAGAAGAGAGAGAGGAAACTATTTAAGCAGGGGAGTTTGACAGTCAGTTTTGTCTCTTATATGTCCATTGTCACTGCCCTAATTATATGGACTCCTGGTTTTGGAGTCTGAAAGGGGGTGTGGTCTGCTTGCTTAATCAGAGGTGTTCAGGGTAGCCTCTCAGTTGAGACATTGCTTTTTTTTCAGGTCTAGAAAGAGCTTGTTTTCCGTATACCCAGGGCTATTCAGTCTAATCCCAGCGCTCACTTCTGCTAATTCACTTCCTCTATTTATTACTCTGACATTGTCCTCCTAATGTTGTTTCCTCTCCTTAGCCAGAGTTGGACATATACTGACAGCCTTTGTCTCTTTGAATCCCATTTTTCTGTTTTGATACTTTTTTTCTTCAGTTAAGTCGACCTAGTCTTTAAATGTATTGGTGACGTTTTGGCCCATGCCACCCTATGTTTTAATCACTGAGACACAGCCTGCGCCAGTAGCCACGCCTACTGGAGAAGTTGCCAAACCAGGAAGTTTGTCCGCACTAGCGCGCCGTACTGACAGTGGCAGTGCGCAGGCGCAGTTCCCGGCTCCCAGCGGCGTGTTCCTTGTTCCCCAGGTTCCCAGCGTCCTGGCAGGTGGACGCCGAGTCTTCCAAGTCCGCCTCCGGCCGCGGCTTGTCTTGTGCTCCAGTCCCTAACTTCGCAGCCCCTCAGCTCCCGGGGCAGCTGCTGTGGCCCGGACGCCTCCACCGGCGACAGACCCATGGCCGAGCGCGGGGAACTCGACCTGACCGGCGCCAAACAGAACACCGGAGTGTGGCTGGTCAAGGTAATGTTCGCGCGGGTTCCGCTTGCGCTTCTCCTAGTATAAATAGTTTAAGTGACTTGAGACCGTCCCATTCCGTGCGCCTTTTAAAGCTCTTTACTGCCATCTCGTTAGAGCTTCACATAACTTGAGAGGCAGAACTTACTGTTATGTTCGTTAGCAGACGAGAAAATTAGTTTAGGATGCATAGTGTCTTTACTCAGTTAAGAGTCCGGACTTGCCTGGAATGGATCTCTTTTCCCCACGACCTGATTTTGCTGGGCCCCTGTCTTGGTGTCCCCCGACTTGAGCGGTGCATTTTACCCTACACTGAAGAATTTCTGCATCTTCTCTTGGTGAAACTGATTTTAGTCGTGAGTCTGTACGAGGAAGTTGAGGGTCTGCTTTCTGTACAGTTTTCTCGGTCAGAAAGTAGAACTGGTTCCTGCGTACCCTTAAAGTGTTTCCTTTGGTTGATGGCCCTTAATGGAGTTCTCATGAGAGCGAGATAGCTCTGAACTCGCGGAAGGAGAGGCCATTGGACTGGAGTGTTCTTTTAGGGCACGACTGGGTCTCGTGACACTGGCCGTCAGTAAGTTTTTTTTGTAAAAACAACAATCGATTAGTCCTTAGCACAGTATTTGTGCTTTACTTTTTCATATTGGGGAGTGTTATCTCTTAGGGGAGTTTCATAAGACATATGTATGTTCAAAATGTGATTATGACAGTCTTTGAACCTCAAGCAGAATGTAGGGACCTTTGGTTTGTTAATTTTTTTTAAAACTTTTACCACACGGCTGAGTTTTCATCAATTAAATCTGAGAGGCCCTTCCTATCCACCTCTATAAATAGCTCCCTTATAATCATTCACTAGCATGTCAAACCTGTATTATATTCTTCAAAGCACTTATCATACAGTGATTCTATGTTCATGTGTTCGGTGTTGGTTACTGCCTTCTCCCCAGCGCATGCGCGTGCGCACACACGCACCCACCCACCCACAGTCACCTTCCATGAGAATAGGATCCTTGCCTGTCACACCCAGAATTGTGTCTGGCACATGGTAATTGCTCAACAGATATGTGATGAATGAATGAATACTCTCTTATTCTTCATCCCTAACCTTAGTCTCTGGCACTCATTTGACTTATCCCAGCTGTATGAATATGACTTAAAAGGATGGAGTAAATGAGCCTTTCTCTCTCCTACTGCATGCTAAATGGAGGAGAATCGTTAAGGAGATCTCCCTTGCAGACTGAAAGAGCGAGCTTGAAAAAATGGTGGAATTTGAGACGATGCATTTGTGCTTGGAGCATTGTAGATGCTCAATAAACGTTTGCCTTACAGGTTTTGGATGGGTAGACAGAGGCATAGCATAGTGTACCATAGAGAGTGGAACAGAAATGCAAGACTAAAAATGCACATTAACATGGTATGTCCCGGAAAACAGATTATTATGCTTAGAGCAGAGGGTCTGTGTGAAAAAGGTTGGGACCATGTACTCATTGTCATATCGTGAAATGAGGATGTCTTAACCTTAGTCTGCAGGAAGTAAGGAACCTTTTGGAGGGTTTTGAGTAAGGCAGGGGTGCAAATGATTTTTTCAGGGGAAAAAAAAAAAACTTGAGGGGAAGATAACCAGAGTCAAAATTAGAAAATTATCACAGGATCATGGGTGTATGGTAATGAAGTCTGAGGAGGGAAACTTTTTCAGTGAAAGTTGTCAGGATTTGTTGACTAAATGAGAATGTGAAAGAATGTAATGAATCTAAAATGAAGAAGTTAAAAAATTTTAGTGCTCTCATATATGGCCATTTGAATACATTTTCTCTCTCTAAAAAGAACTCAAGGGGCTGGCCCCGTGGCTTAGCGGTTAAGTGCGCGCACTCTGCTGCTGGCGGCCCGGGTTCGGATCCCTGCTGCGCTCCGAGGCACCGCTTCTCCGGCCATGCTGAGGCCGTGTCCCACATACAGCAACTAGAAGGATGTGCAGCTATGACATACAACTATCTACTGGGGCTTTGGGGAGAAAATAAATAAATAAAATCTTTAAAAAGAACTCAAGTGAAGCCAATGATTTGTTCTCGTTTTCTAAAGGTAGTTGTAATGTTTTGATTATTTATTGTTTGCATTGTCATTGTTTCCTCATATCAACTTGGCATACAGTGTTTCTTCTTTGTCTAATGTTATGTATCAAAGAAAATAACAGGCTTGCCAATACATCTCTCTGGGGTGCAAAAAGACTTTCTTGCCAGTTCTTGTCATCTGACAAGGACGAGGATTGCTAACAAATACTTTCTGTTCTAAAATCCATTAATTTTCCTCCTTTATTTGACAACTTTTATTTCTGCTCTAGTTAAAGGAGTCCCAGGGGCCAGCCTGATGGCTCAGTGGTTAAGTGCGCGCGCTCCGCTTTGGGGGCCCAGGGTTCGCAGGTTCCGCTCCTGGGCGCGCACTGACGCACCGCTTATCAAGCTGTGCTGTTGCTGCGTCCCATATAAAGTAGAGGAAGAGGGGCATGGATGTTAGCCCAGGGCCAATCTTCCTCAGCAAAAAGAGGAAGATTGGCATCGGATGTTAGCTCAGGGCTGATCTTCCTCACACACACACAAAATAAATAAATAAAATAAAATAAAAGAGTCCTAGTAGGCAATGGAGTTTGATTTGCACATTTGTCAGATAGTTTGAACTTGTTTCATTTGCACTAGGGTTAGCATCCAATGTGATTTTCATGCCCATATCTTGAGCATACTTGGATTTTCATCTCTGAATTACAGGAATAAATTATATGAGTGAATCAAATCTTAATGGTCAGGCTCATTTTCAGCTTTTTTTGTGTGATATTAAAATATAACATGTTGCTTAGAAAGTGTCTTCATTCTTATCCAATCAGAGTTTGTGAATAGAACTACATACCAATTTCGAGTCTTTTCTCTATACATTAATATTTCTCATTACAAATAATACCTTGAGTTCTGATCTTTGAGGATTGTCGCAAAATATATGAGTTTCTTGCTAGAGTATTTCAAAGTTTATGGGCCATCTTGTGCATATTTTATTAATTCCATCACTAAACAGGTATAGAACAGGATAAATACAGTAAGAGCTATACATATAAGATCTCTGAGAGTTTTGGACAGGAAAAAAATTGGCTAGCTGCAACAGGAAAGACTTCATGGGGAAGGTGACATTTAAGAAGAGCCTGTAGAGTTGATTAGTTAGAAAAAACTTCCCAGCAGGGCCGGGGAGAACTAGAGTGTGTTCAGGAAAAGGCAGATATAAGTAGAAGATTGTGTGCCAGAATGTCTAGGACCTGTACTGTTCTGCCCTAATGAAATGCCATTTCTGGGGTTTGGAATGTCTTAAATCTACAACAGAATGATGATCCGAACAAGTTTTGATAGGTAATAGACGTGATTGGATTTGACTTTACGATAGATGTCATCTGCCAAAACATACAAACAGTCACAATTTTAACTAAGCTCGTCCCTTGTAGTTTGCATTACCCTATTCCTATTGGTCACTCGGTGCCAGTGTTAGGTTGCCAATTGGTCACACTGCTACTACACACCCTATACTAAATCATGATTTAAAAATTTGGTGATGTTTAAAAATATTTTAGCATAGTTCTGTTGTTTGGCTTCCAATATTTAGACTTCTGGTAAAATCATTGTCTCTAGTTAAGGTTGGCGGAGGTACATGATAGGGAAGAGGAAGAGATAAAGCTGCCAAGGTTGTTAGGAGCCGTGGGATTTTTGTCAATCGTGAGTATCATCCTGGGGCCTGAATTATAAGAAATGTTATTTCTTTTCTGGGAATGGACAGGTGGAGGTACTGACAAGAGCTGTGGTAGGTCTAACCAACAGCTTTCTAGCCAGCAAAAAGATGTGTTTCTAGTCCGCTCAACCCTCTTGTAAGCATGCTGACTAATGTTTGTGAGAGGAGAGGATCAGGAAAGGAGGGATGGACATCATCCCCTCTGAATGCTGTGTCTTTTATTCGACTCAAATGCCAGCAGGCTCAGCTTTTTTTTTCACAGACAGGTAAGCAGTTGGACATTGACAGTCAAAGAGAAAGCTATAGAGAAAGCTATATACCAGGGAGAGATGAAACTAGAGTGGGTGATATCTCAAAGCCTTGCAGATAGTAGGGGAAAAAGGAACTTACATTTCTTATGTATGAAGTATTGTACAAATTAGTACCTACTTCATAGGTACTAATTATCTTTATTTTTCAGATGATAAAATTGAGGCTTAGCGGGGCTAATTATCTTGCCCAAGCTTGGAAGAGTGATTCCAATTTAGGTCTGTTTGGCTACAGAGCTTATGCCAGGAATAGAAAATGTCTTTTTTCCTCTTAAGTCTTTTTAATGAGTTATCTCCCTCGAGAACAGAGGTGAGGTGGGGATTTCATTTCTCCGTCCTTGGGTCTTGTCAACTCCATATGTTGACCTTCAAGAGAATATGATAGAAAAAGCTGCCTGTCATAGATTGGGTTCCCTGGGAGCTGATTCTGAAATGGAGATTAGCATGCAGGGGTTTGTTAGGGAGTGCTCTTGGGATCACCACCTGTGGAAGGAAAAGGACTTAATCAGGATGGGGCAGAGGGTATGATGCAATCTCAGTGGAAGCTAAGGACGATTCCACAGGGAGCCCTCTGGAGCTATCCTGAGTTGGGGCAAGGTATACCCTGTGTCTACCAATCATTGCATGTGGTTTGCCCCAGAAGAGTGCGTGATCTTGGCCAAAGGGCCTCTCTTGGAGGCAATTCCAAGGAGAACTAACAGCTGAAGGCTATTAGCCACAATCCTGGCAGCTGAGGGAATAAGGCCTTTAGTCTTAAATGGGGATATGGGTGTCACATCACAGTGTCTACTACAGTGCCCTTAATTTGCTTGTATTCTGGGAGCTTGGAGACTGGTAGTTGGGGAACTGGATATTTAACGAACCAAAGTTGGCAGAGAAGTTTAGGGGAGTAATATCTGTACATATCACCTTAGCACCTTGACGTCAAAGGCGTAGTTG